TGTCAGAGAGTGAATCTGCGTCTCATTCAGAGCTTCTGCTGTTTGCTTCGTTCAGGCATGTAGTATAATTTCACAAAGCTAGTCAGAACATTGTTTTTGCTTCAAATTTAGTTATTATTAAATCAAATTATGTATATGAAATTATATAAATAAATGACATGAAATTATATAAGTAAATGACATGAAATTATATAAAAGACTCGGTGTGGAAACGATCTCTGCTCTGCTGCAGACGCACCGCTACTGGAACGCACTGACGGACAGCAACCGTGTGCAGCTTTATTAATCCGTTAACATGAGTGCGGAAAAAATAGGCACCATGTATGCACTGCACACGGAGTAATGTGAACCTGGCATTATGCGGTGATTCACTCACGCTGTTTGTGAAATTACGTCTCACAAAAGGTTTTCAAATTACTTTAAGTTATTTAATGAAGAAATATGAAGGTGAGTACCTCACCTTCAGCATTATAATTATTTCACCGGCGCCGGACAGAGACTGAGAAAGTGCCGCTGCATGTCGTGCCAAACCTCTCATGGCAGCGTCATCAGCTTGAGATCGGCCTTTTTAGAGACCGCCGATCAATCATCCCAACCTGATTATCCGCCGATAGTGATCGGTAGCCGATCAATCGGAGCACCCCTGATGTCAACATATTGCTTGTCTCCTTTGACTGGCATGTATTGTAGAATGCATGATGTTCTTCGAATTTTTGTAAATAATTATTTTACAATTGCAATCTACCAACAGCCTTGTCAACAGCATTTTCTTTTCTTTTCTTTTTTAATTCATGTTTTGGTGAAATGATAAATGATAGGCTGTGGATAATAACTGGCCTGTTTTGTTCTGCTAGTGTAGCATTAGGCCCTTTACATGTGAGCAGAATCGTATGGAGTTCCTCCAGATCTTTCTGCTCTCATTTGTCAGGATCAACAGCACCTACAGTGTGAGGTTCAGGCCGGGCCAAAGTGTGGCGCTCCAGCGGATGTGTCTGACTTACCGCGGGACACTATCAAATTCACAGCTTTGAAATCTCTGTCTGGCGTTGCAGCGGAGACCGTGGGACGTATTTTTTCCGTCTCAGCTTTTTAAACCGCCCCCCTGGCGTGTTTTTTCCTGTGCTCTTTTGTTGCGGGTCTTCTAAAAGAGACTGATCGTGGCTCTGAGTGATGCACACCAGGCAGAAGTTAATGCGGCTGCTGGAGACGTTATGATTCCCTGGAGAATTCCCGCCGCCCCTGCAGCCGTGTGTCTGATCCAGCGGCGGCCGCGCTCGCGCCGCGTGAGGGGGCGGGAGATGACATCGGGACGGGGGTGGAAGAGACCGGAGGGGCTCGTCTTACCTTGAAACTTTCTTTCTCGCTATGGCATACGCCTACGCTTGACGCGAGCTCCAGACACGACTGGTCCGCTTCCATCTCTAACACGTGACTTGCTCCTCCGAGGTCTTGCGAGGGCCAGATGGGGGGATGCGGATCCTGAGGCGTTTAATTGAGAGGCCACGGTCTTAATTAAGTATCAGCGTGAATGTTGATGAGTGGCGTCGGGTTGTTCCATCCGCGACTCACTCAATAACTCAACCGCAGTTCCGAGGAAGCAAGCGGAATAATGAGCGACTTGAGGCTTTCGGAGCGGAACCCGGGACGGTCCGCCAACAGACATTAAAAACACGTTATTGTGCAAACATACGTGGAGTGTGTGTGCGATTTAAAAACATTTAATAGCTCCAATAGCCTGTCAGCGTGTTAATTTCTCCGTCTGATTCGTGTGTCATTCGCAGCTTCGTCATTTGATTTGCAGGCAGCATCTTCAGTCCACGTCGGTTTTGCGGTCGACTGGCCAGACGTCGTGAAGAGCTTGTTTTTAATGTGAATCCACACCGCGTGAGCTCTTCTGTTCTGTCTGGCCACTCAAACGTCATCTGGTCAAATCATCTGTCTAAAGACCATTTCTCTGGCCCCACATCCTTCTTTTATTACCGGACTCTTGCAGTAGAAACGAGTGTGTTCGGATCCTTGACCGTCTGGTTAGTTGTGAAATTGAATTCGAGCGCATTGGCAGATTAGGCCTGGGTGATATTTAGTTAAATAATATCCTAATCTAATCATTTTCAGCTTTTATCTCTTTTTGTAATAGTTCTGACATTTTATTTGTAGTGTAGTATTGTTGTAAGATTCAGAATATTTATTAAAAAAATAAATATGCAATAAAATCTCGTTAATTAAGGTGTTCTTCACAGTTTAATTAAATCAACACATGCAATAAATAGTGTTTTATAATTTTTTTAATTTATGTGCACAAACAGTGCTCAGTACAAATACATTTAGGTTAAGCATTGTAATAGCCCTACATCATTGTGAGATGTTTTTTTAAATGTTTTTGTTCTCCCCAAGGCTGCATTTATTTGATCAAAATACAGTAAAAAAAAAACTGTAATATTGTGAAATTTAAAATAATTGTTTTCATTTTGAATATATTTTAAAATGTAATTAATTCCTGTGATGGCAAAGCTGAATTTTCAGTAGCCATTACCCCAGTCTTCAGTGTCATTTTAATATGCTTATTTGATGATCAAGAAGCATTTATTATTATTAATTATAAACAATTGTTCTTTGATGAATAGAAAGTCTTTGAATCTCTTTACTGTCACTTTTGACCAATCCTTGATGAATAAAAGTATGAATATCATTAAAAAAAACTTGCTAATTATAGTGTTTCATATATATGCAATATAACAAAGTGATAAACAATAATATATATTCTTACTAAAACATCCAGATGTGTTAAATTATTTCCATAAACCGTTTTTGAGTTTTGCAAATGAATCATTGAATTGGAGTTCATGGATCAACAGACAGTTTGAATTGATTCATTGTTGTTTGTTAGAATCAGGGACACTTAAAACATCTGTTTTAATGTTTTTATACTTACAAATTGCAATGCAAACGTGACAAGTCCTCGTGATACTCACAATTTTGTATTGGCAGCAAATGCATTGTGAAAACATTTGATATGGCTGCTCATCCTAACAGGTCACGTCCTAATTTGGCCTGCGGTTTAATGACTCAGAACAACCGGTGTCAGACCCCCAACCCTTCTTTTCCAAAACTCTGTTTCAGCTTGTTTTTAGATCTTCAGCACTAGTGGAAAAATTGGCCGTCCCTTGGGCTGCACGAGGCACTCAGGAACGCGGGGCTCGAGTGTCTTGATGTGGATTTAACTGGGCTTCAGGGAGGAAGTGTTTCACTTAGCTCTGCAGTCCAAGAGATAGCGGGACGTTAAGGAGCCGTAAATCAGTGCAGGTTGCTCACCTGCCCCATCTTGGGCTCGTGGGAGACGCGGAGGCTCAAAGCTGCTCTTCCTCTCGACCCTGTTAGGAGCTTTTCAGTCTGTTTGGCCTTCTCATGACTGATGGGCTGTGGTAAATAACAGGCGGTACTGCAAGCTTTCATCCCCACTGTCCCGGCGTCTCGGGCAGGATGTGAGGTTCTGGTGACTGCTTTTCAACGGCACACGTGTAAATCACGCTGAGGACGTTTGTGCATGAAATGAAATAAACTGTATACCTGAAACATGTAGACTGTCATGCTGCCATAAAAGACGGGGTCTGGAAAATGCTGTACGGAAGCATGTTTTTCTACAACAGCATGAAATAACTGACTACGTGTACTTGCGTGCTGAAAAATTGAAAACTTGAGATTGAAAACGGTTAATATTTCATTTTAGTTAATTTTGCAGAAATAAAATATTATAAGCCTTTATATACACAATTTTTGCATAGTTTACATTTTTTTTAATGACAATTAAGCACAGTGCATCATACATACCTCCCTTTTTTTAATAATTTCTTTTTTTTATTATTTGAGTTTTATTATAATTAAAACAAAAATTGTTTTAGTTCTTTTTGTACATCAAGTCAAACTACATGAAAAAAGGAAATGTTGCTTTGGCAACTTGCTGAAATAAAATAAGCTTTTTTTTCATATTTTATTTCAGTTAACATTTATTTTACTTCACGTAACAAAAACGATTTTTATGGTTTTAGTTAGCTATAATAACCCTGGTACATACTAGTTGCATACTATTGCTATGCTAATAACTAGTACTTGTTGCATTACAATATAACTTAATTACATTAGTTGCATACAATTATGCAAGGTATATACTAGACACAGAACAATGTAAATAACGCGACTTGTACTGATTATGGTGTACTGCAACTTTTCTTTTTAATAATTCAAATTTTTAGTTTGTTTTTAATTCAAGTTTTTCTTGCTTCATTTTTCTTGTTCAGTTATTTTTTTATGTAAATTAATGTAATACAATTTTTATTTTATTAATCTGCATAAAGATAGTACAAAAAATACAGCAATTTAGTGTATAAATAGATTAAATTAATTTTAGATTTTTAGATTTGAAACTGAGAAAACCTTTTTATCACATTATAAATGTGAATTTAATTGGTATGGAAAAAGAAAACCACAGTGACTAAAAAAAAAGCCTTGTTGGGGTTGGACAAAATATGAGATTCTTTTTTTGGTCATTTGTAATATAAATTAGCGTAATACAATTTTTATTGTATTAAAATCTGCATAAAGTACAACAAATACTATTATTTAGTGTATAAATGCATGAATTTAGACAATTAACACTAATAAATAAAATAGTGATTTTTTTTTTCACATTACAAATGTGAATTTAACTGCTATGGGAAAAAATTCAAGAAATGTACAAAAAAAAAAAAAAACTTTACTCGGATTGGATTAAATATGGGATTCACTCAAAACAATCTTTCGAGGCTATTTTTTTCTTAGATTTTTAGTTTTTATAATTCATTTAATACTGTTTATAGAAAATATTTGTCAATGTTTGAATACATAATCTAAGATTTTGATCACAGCTAATGTTGTTTTTTATTTTGTTTCTACAGACTGATGGCCAACATTCAAAAGAAAAGAAGAAAAAGAAGAAAGCTGCAGGGAAGGAGGGAGGAGAGGAAAGTGTTGCATCCGACAGAGACAGCGGCCTCCAGATTTCCTCTCAGGTGGACGAGTATGAACACGACACGTCTGATGAGGAGGTAAGAATCTGTTCATCATCCAGACCAGGACAAGCTCTTCCCATGTCAGAACAATCAACATCTCATAACTCTGAGTCAGATTTAGTTTGAAAGCTGTTTTTCCACAGCTGTCCATGGCTGGGAGGGATTTAAAGACAACACTGCCTTTTAAAATGTACTGTGGTAAATTTAGTTTTCACCAAAATATCATAGTTACAATTAGGCCTGGGCGATAAAACGGTATCGATGTTTATCGACGGTACACCTTCTTCGATAACGATAGAAAAAATGTTCGATATAGCGCACGATATAGGCACGTGCTATGAGTGACGCAGACAGCACACACAAACACATGCTGAAATGAGTGCTGTGCCTGCCTGTGATGAGGAGATTGTAAATAAAGAATGATTAGTTGAATTTAAAATAAACATTTGCAATGTTAGGTGTGCGTCAGGGAGCGTCATTGGTGGCGCACGAGATGCGGTGATGTAAGTGACGTTGTTGCATTTTAATGTTTTGTTAGTCTAGCCCACGAGACGCGCCACTGCTGCATTATTCATTCAAAATATTAGAGAAATATAGAAGCTCAATACGGAGAAGATCTTGATTAGGTGAAAACCGGTTTTTATACAGTCTATGGTTAAAACCGAAACCAAGCCATTCACACAGAACACATATTCAGCGCATTTTTTAGACGGACAAATATGACTGCTGCACTCGCGTCTCACAGAAGAGATGTAGCCATGCAAAGTTAAAACAGTTTAAACTTTTAGAAAACATGTCACGAATTTGTGGAGGTTTATTCCTTTTCACTGCGTCTCATATGTTTTTAAATGCAATCTGTGTGAATGGCGCTTCGGCTCTTTGGATTAAGCAATGCATAAATGCTGTTTTGTTCATAATTGTTTATGCAATTTACGAAATTATATTTTATTTTTATGAGTTAATTTAGACGTAATGCACGTTTTTTTTATAGAGTTACTTCCGTGCGTTAACCATTTAAATGCGCTGCATTATTTTGTTCATTGCGCCCTCCTGTGGCCTCGGGAGACAAGACAAAAGTTTCCTTAAAACCTATTTAATCTGCATTTAAAACAAATTAGATATGTTTAATTTTTATTTTGTGTTTGATTGTTAAATAAATCAAACTTATTGATTGATTGTCTCAATAAATTGGGTTAATTTAAAAATACAGTGGTTAAATGTAAACATTTTTTTCTATTGCTCTTTGTTTTAAAAAAGGTTATAAAAAATGTCAATAATTATCGATACCGAACGATATGAAACATTATAGCCTTGATACATTTTTTGGCTATATCGCCCAGCCCTAGTTACAATGCTACAAAAACTACAAAACTGTGGTAATGTGATATTGGCCACCACTGCCATAACACAAAGTTTCTTCCATTGTTTGAAGGAGATCCCATGTTCATTTATTATGGTGGTGCAATAGTGATAATACCATTTTTGTAGGAAAAAAGTGTCTAATTTGACAAAGAAATTAGCTAGGTTTTTGGATTTAAAATATTTTGATATATTTTAAATGAGAAATATTTAAGATTCTGCACTTTAAGTAAAAAATGCTTTTTGGATAATTTCAAATTATGCTGAAAAACATAATCATTAGGTTTTGTTGATGTCAGATCCAGTGGTGCTGTAATTAAATGTGTCAATGCAGGTGTTCACTTAAATTTTCATGCAACTTCTAACATCACTTGTAATCAATTTGAAAAGAATAGTTCACTACTGGTCTCAGACTGTTGGATGTTCGATGTGTTTCTTCGTTTCAGGTCACTGAAAATCCATGGAAATGTTTTTTGTGCTCAACTCTTATTTCCATTAAATTCCAGTTTCCAGTTCAGCAAGTCTGAATATCACCATTGTGTCCAGGTGTTGGTGCACCTGCATCAGTCTGAATATCACCATTGTGTCCAGGTGTTGGTGCACCTGCCTCTGTTGCGATGTGTCCTTTGCATGCTGTCCTCCTATCATTTGTTTCCAGATGGCCATTTGACTTTCAACTCTTTTGACTTTTATTTGGATGCATAACAAATGCATCATTTGACTACTTAAGGGAATTTTGGACTCTTTATGAACAAACTGTGTGAAATACCAGCTTAATGTCACAAAAAAACTAAATGGCAGGAATGCGTAGTTTCACGTTTCGTGCACTTTCTTAGTTTGAGTGAGCTTTATTCAGGTTTCTTAATCTAGGTAATGACAGCTGAGGTCAAAGTCACACTTTAGTGTACCTTTAGAGGAATAGTTCACCCAAAAATGAAAAATTGTTGAAAATTTACTCTCAGGCCATCCGATATGTAGATGAGTTTGTTTCTTCATCAGAATAGATTTGGAGAAATTTAGCATTACATCACTTGCTCATCAGCGGATCTTCTGCAGTGAATGGGTGCCGTCAGAATGAGAGTCCAAGCAGCTGATGAAACATCACAATAATCTGCAAGTAACAAGTAATCCACACCACTCCAGTCCATCAATTAATGACTTGTGAAGCAAAAAGATGCTTGTTTGTAAAGATACAAATCCATTATTAATGCATTAGGAACCATCGCTTCTGTTCCATAGTCCATAAAAACTCTTCTTCCAGTGAAAAGGTCCATCCCCTGTTGTCCTCTCACATCAAAATTCACAAACATATTTGTTTAGAACTGTCTTAGACTGGTTTCTCTCAAAAACTGTGCCTGATCTGTGCATATTTCTCTCCTGATTCAGACAAGATTACCTTTTCACTGGAGAAAGCAATATTATGAATGGAGGCCTCGTATTTTAGCCGGAAGCAATTGTTCAAATTTTGAAAATCGTCTTAATGATGAATTTGTTCCTTACAAACATACAGTTTTCAGTTCACAAGATGTTAAAGGTAGGGTAGGCAATTATTATACAAATTATTATATGTATTATGCAAATACATCCTTTGACAGGCAGGTAGGACAGCCTATCGTAATGTTCGGACCGAATAATCTGATTGGTCGAACATTTTATGGTCCTACGCCTTCCACAGGCGATATAAATACATATAAATACTTAGTGATTGCTATCGGGATGTGAAGAGACTTTCAACCAGCATAACAAAAATGTTTTTGAACCAAATCACCTACCCTGCCTTTAATTGATGGTCTGGAGTCTTGCGGATTATTGTGATGTTTTTATCAGCTGTTTGGACTCTTATTCTGACGGCACCCGTTCACTGCAGAGGATCCATTGGTGAGCAAGTGATGTAATGCTAAATTACTCCAAATCTGTTCTGATGAAGAAACAAACTCATCTACATCTTGGATGGCTTGAGGGTGAGACAATTTTCAACAGATTTTCATTTTTGGGTGAACTATTCCTTTCAAGGAGTAATAATGGAAATCTATGATTGATGTTTCTTGAATGACATGACACTTAATAACTTCTGAAAGACAAGTAGACTAAAGATGATTTAAGTAAATCTAAATATAGCGGTGGCTTTTTCTGCTGCGTTTGCACAGGCATGATTACTTCATTGTTCCGTAGAGGGTAATATGATTAGTTGTGTAATGTTTCATGTAAAGGAAAAATATTTTTGTCCTGTTCCTCAGGCTGGAAGTGTCTGAACCGCAGTACTTGATACTGTTCCCTTATGCCTGTCAGACGTTACCACATTTCTGTAATGTCTCTGTTGGCTTTTTTGAGGGGAGGCCGTGATGCACCTCTGCAGTAAGGAGCTCTGTAACGTCTCATATTTACATGTAGGACCATTAAAGAATTCCTCTTCAGCTCTTTAATTTACATGCTCCATTGAAAACCGTTGAACCCTGGCACAATACGGTCTGGATAATTTGCCAGGCCATACAACCTAAACACAGCAGCCATCCAAAACTGTTCTTGGCAATCTGCTACCGACCAGGAATGTTTTGCAGAAGTGTTATTGTTCTTGGGTAGATCCCCGATTTCAGAGTGACTTTTTAATGCTCCTTCGTAGTCATTCAGAACACATCAGGAATGCTGACTACCATCATTTTGTTTGTAAAAGTTCACATTTTTGGCATTTCTCTGTCTTTGGAGGTTTCTAGTTCTTTTAGTTTAACGACAACATGAAATCAAAGTTGTGCGTATTTACTTTGTTCGTAAATGTCATTCGTATTATTGTGGACCATTTATCAGTGTTATTGTAAAAGAGAAAAAAGGGGGCTTCCTCATAGGAGTCAGTTTCAACAGTGATTTGTCTGTTGAACTCAATGAATTTGTTACAAAAGTGCTGGGGTTTTTTTTTTCATTAATTTAGAGATGCAACTTCATGGAGAGAGTTTTGCTATGCTGTAAATGTGGTTTTTACAGTTTTAAGTTTTCATATTTTAATCAAAATGTCAATATTTTTTACATGCAGTATTCATTCATTT